CATATTATGTCATATTGCTCATGCTCCACCCACGGCCACTGACAGACTTTCCAGTATTAGCATATTTCCGCCTCCAGCCATTTGTAGTTTTCACCAAAGCAAGTTGCAAAGGCAGCACTTTATCTGTCTTGTGTCAACACCCCCCATGGAAGAGAGGGGTGGGGTGAGCAGTTGCTCATTATCATTTAAAGAGACATGCACTGAAACGGGTCACTGTGAACAGAGCTGTTTTTGAGGAGGTAAAAAGGGTGTTGTTTTACACAATCATTATAGAATTTTAATCAAAGTATGTTACAAACTTTACATGGAGACCCTAAAGAATCCTATACCAACTTGTGGAAAATGGGCATCCAATGACCCCTTTTAAGTTTATACATGCTAGTTTCCATGACAGAGATAAATCTTTTCATTACTACTGGAGCTGTCAAGTTTGCTCATTTTCAAATGATTATTAAACAGCAAGAACGAACTATGCAAAAGCAGGAGCCCTTCCGGCACACCCAGTGTCTGAATTCAATCACTCGTTTTTATTCACGCTGACCAAAACGCATCTTAATACCAGGTGGAAACAGGGCCTAAGTGGACTATATTAGAGGAGTAATGTAGGGAATAGTGAAGGAGAGAGTAAGGGGACGATTTCGAACACAGCCTAAGTTTGACACGTTCCGCCCACTGTGGGCAAATTGATCGAGAAAAAAAACAGCTGATAAAATAGCTAGCGCTATTCGCTATTGAAACCACAAGGAACATTAATGAGGAGGACACTGTTGCTAATTTATTATCCTTGCTGTTTTCAAGATACATTTTTTAAAGAAAATCTGGAGTTAATCAGCAAATGGAGACCTTCACCATAGCTTAATTTTTTCATGCAGAAAGCAAAGCTTTTTAAAGCATTTCAACCCCAGCAATTATAAGCGATAATTATAAGCAATACCCTCTGGATGACAGCATCAATCAAGAAAGCTTTACAGATGGACTTATTTGCTGTTTGGGTAAGTTATTTAAAGTCGAATAGGTTATGTGACTGATTTTATTTTGGCTCTGCCGCCGCCACTGTGTTTTACTAATCAAAACAGTTATTTTGCAGAATTACTGATCAGTCCGATGTACCAAAGTGCTGTATATGAGAATAATAAAAATAAACAAATGTATGCAACCAAAAATACATACAATACATACATACAGCTAAGGAAAATAAATGTTTTTAACACTCTCTGAAATGACCCTTGAGATATTTTTGAGGACAATGGGAGCTCATTCCAGAGTCTAGGAGCTGCCACAGAAGTTCAAGTGTGATCGAGGGAGTGTCAGACACAGCTGATCATTGGAGCGAAGAGATCTCATAGGTTAATATAAACAAATTAAATCAGAGATATACTCTGGTGCTAAGCCATTGGGAGATTTTAAAACATATAACACTTGATTCTGTATCGAATCGGCAACCAACATAATGAAATCAGTACAGGAGTAATATGGTCTTGTTTTGGTGCCAGTTATAAGCAGTTGAGTTCTGATCCAGCTGGAAGCGAGAGGGCGAGGCCTGACTCACACCCAAGTAAAAGTGTTACAATAATCCAAACGAGAAGACACAGAACCTTCTCCAGATCATTGGAAAGTAATAATTCTGCATAACAAAAAAAAACAAAAAAAACAAAACAACAACAACATGATCTGGTACATACAGTACATGCCAGTCTAATGATATAATTTATTATTAACATATGTGGAAGTGTCTGTCGCTTTCGTTTTGTGGCCAGTTGTCACCATATTCTAATCCACTTATTGTGCTATGATGATGCAATTCTTTGTAATGATGATTTGCATTTCATTACTTTTAGTTTAATTTTTGGTGATCTTCACGATATTTGGTTGTGACATGTCTTGTCAAAGGTAAATGCAGGTTTGGTAAGTTAGGCTGATTTTAGTATACTGTGTATATATATAAGCAGTTATGAGCAGCTGAGTGCATCCTGGTGCCATCACTTCCCCAAGTAAATGGTGCACACACATACACAGCCTACACCCCAATGATTATTTAGCATAAATGAGCACACCTATAATCAAAAACATTTACACCTTTGCATGTCATTTTTCCATATCAAAACATTTTTAAAAAAGAAGCTAAATACAACTTCATTAGTGCTCTTGGATGTTTGGACCCACATAAATCCATTTATTTTAAAAGTGAGCAAAGAGATTACTGAGGCTAAACTGGGGAAACAAGCTAAAAACAGTGTGGCCCCTGACCTCCCACTGTTGCCTATGACAAGTCTTCCTTTGACTATCTGTTTGCCATTCAGATCTCCTGCAGCCAGAGATGCATGAAGAGGGGCAACTATCTGCTACAGCATACTGCAGAGTTGGCTTTTTCTGTTGTCCTGCTAATTTGCTTCAAGCTGGGAGAAGTGCTGATTAAATAACTCGGCCGGTGATTGAACGTGCGTTTGGCCACATCGCCTCTCAGCTCCATGGCTCTGACAAACATGTTTGTTTTTCTCCCTTACTCGAGTAACTTAATGTGTTCTCAGTGTTCTTTTTGTTTCTTAACAGAGAGACACACACAAAAAAAGAGGCTTTGTGTTTAACTACGAGTCTGTCATTGACCTCCCTTGGCTAACTTTTACGGCAGCTACCTCAAAGAGTAAACTTTATACTTTCAAACATTCCCTATAGCTTAAAAAAAAAACACATTTTGTAGCATTCACTCACAAAAAAAAAAAAAAAAAAAAAAAAAAGGATTCATTGCTATCTTACGATCCAATTAGTGTCTTTTGTGTTCTAACAAAAAGTTAGGTCAAATAAAGTTAGCATATTCTTCCCGAAATAAAGCCTGCAGTTTATAGTCAATGTTACCTGTCTGTAGGAGGATTTCTTGGTATAAGCACAAAATAATGAGACACCATTGCCAGAACTCTGCAAAATGTAGTGGATGCTATTTTAATATTTATTTATTTTGTTTGTTTTCCTCTCTCTAGTGGGGCAGGCATCTGTTTCAAGCTTTCATCAGCATAATCCAGTCTGATATAAGCACTACCCACACCAAGTCTGCATTCATTTGTGAATGCATATCATGACAGAACTTAATTCATGTCCAATGAATTTAATGAATTGAAATTTAGCATTCGGTAGACAGAGTTTGTGTCAGAAAAATCAACAGCTGTTGAGAATCCATGATCAGGACTAAAAAAACGAACACAACTTCAAATAGAAAAAGAAAGACGGCAGATACAAATAATGTGCAATAAGAAGAATAATATGAATAATGTGTAGTGGTTGTGGGGTTGTGTGCACTCTTTGATATCCAATTTGTGTTCAAAAGGCTGCTGTCTTTTATTGTCATGATTGGTTGGAAGTCCCAAAGTCTCTGCTCTCATCTGTGACTAATAAATTTAAATTGATAAGAAATTGATCAGGCTTGCCGTAACCAGGCTGTTGCGATTCGGATCCATAAGCTATCAATTATGCTATCCTCTCATCATCTACAGGTTTCCTCATATCATCTGCCATTGATTGGCTAAACATACCTGTAACCAAATAGCAGAAAGCCAATAATCCTAGTACAGAATTTGTCTGATTTATCCTGTGAGGTAAAAAGCATCAAAAGATTAAAGGACTGACCTTAAGATTCAAGAGAGCAGATTCATGTCTCTGTTCTTTATGTCAGTAAGAACAAATCGGTAATGGTTTGATGGTTCATTAAAGGGGCGTGCGTATCCTTCGCTCTGAGGGATGAGGCGGCTCATGTTCGAGCTACAGAAGGAAACGAGTTACTGATCTTTCGTTGCTCACTCTCGCCTCTCATGACCCATACGCAGAGAACATTTCTTTGCAAAAGGATTGCTGTGGTGAATATATATATATACTTTCGGGTAAAATATCTTTAGATTTTTGTATTTTTTTTTCATGTCATGGCACTATTTGAATAAATCATGATAGCCGATGAAGCTGAACCCTTATGTGAGTGTTTCATCTCAGCATGTGGCCTTTGCTTTCTCCAACTCTTATGCACTTGAAAAGCACTTGATATCACTTCCGATTCAAAGCCTTCCGATTGAGAAGCACCCTTCCACTTCCAGCTCAATGTGTTCTGTGTTCACTCAGCTCCTGGTTTACCACTCCCTGCTCACTGGTGAGTGAAACCAACCTGATCTCCTGACAAAACTAAAGTATTTTCATATGAATTCCTACAATCTGATTTGTACAGGTATGAATGATTTTTTTTAGGAGAAAAAAAATGGAAGCATGCAGCTCCCTAATCCTAATCGTAAATGGGGTGTAAGAAGATTGAACAAAAAGGAGAGGCTGCTCACTGCAGAGCCAATGGGTGGAGCTTGATGTCCAGCTTCCCCTCAATGGATGTAATGGGTGGAGCTTGATGTCCAGCTTCCCCTCACTGGATGTTGATGTCCAGCCAACGTTGATGTTCTGTTGATGTTCTAACGAACAGGTTTGTGATTGGTTGCAATGCTCAACGCTGCAAAACACTGTGTAAACAGAAAACTATGACAAACTGGGAGTAGATTTAAACTGAATTCTGTAGATGTAACTATGATTTTGCTTATTTGTCGATTAATTGCACAGATCTATTGGGAAATAGCCTACTACTACTACAAAAATAGCCTATGACGGAATGATTCAATACAAAAACGAAATAAATTCATAATTGCAACACAGAGCAACCCATAAATGAATTGGAAGCACAACAGAGAGAGAGAGAGAGAGAGAGACGAATTCAAATTAATCAAATGAAGTCATTACTGCAATTCCTCCCGTAGATTATTAAAATAGGAAACGGCTTTCAGTTTACTTGGAATAAACATTCAGATGTATTCAAATGAGGAATCAGACCTCGATGAAGAAGTGTATCTTTGGTTGTGATTCACCAGTGAGAGGAGTTTGTGTGTGTGTGTGTGTGTGAGAGAGAGAGAGAGAGAGAGAGAGAGAGAGAGAGAGAGAGAGAGAGAGAGAGAGAGAGAGAGAGAGAGAGAGAGAGTCCAGCGCGCCCAGGGCATTTGGTGAGGGAAGCGCGGCACTCGGGAGCGCATCATCGGGATTGAAGCAGCGGCTTTCGGACGCATCATGCGCAGACACTTCAAATCCTCCCCAGGACCAGCCGCTCGACAAAATGTATCGTTTTAGACCACTCGGACTAAAGGATCGTCGGGCTGACTCTTTTAGGTGTCTGGAATTATTTTTTAGTCTAACTCGGAGACGTTTATTCTGAGAACTCATACTGGAGAAGAGACTTGGAAGGCTTTAAAATGCTGTCCGGATGGGTCGAAGCCTCCTCAGAAAAGGTAAGGACTAAAAACACGTTTAGACATTAAAGACACGTTTGTGTTTCTATACGAATTCAATTCCACTCTTGCGTGAAACTTCTTATAACAGCTTCTATCTGCCATATCCACTGAAAACACTTAAAAGTTGGTTAAAAATAACAATACAAAAAAAATAATAAATACATAAATAAATAAAAAAATAAAAAAATATGGAAGTGTGGTTGATAGAAATCTACTGATTTTTTTGGGCATTACGGAATGGCATTCGGTGCCTTTGTATTTTACAGTTCACGACTGTATAGCCTATGCCATTTAGTTTGTAATGCTAATATATTAGCATAATGACTACTGAAATCTGCAAAAAAAAAATTAAAATATACTGAACACTGTAATAATAAAGGTTGGGCAATAAAGCCACGATTAATTGAAGTTAAACAAATGGCCTCATGTCTAATAAATATGCATAAACAGTACACATATTCTATATGTGTACTGTTATCAATCTAATATACTTCCATTGGATAGCTTGAATTTAACCAAATTCTCCCACAAATAGGAAGAGAAAGGGAAAATCAGAGCATTTCATAAGCGTGTTTATAACAGTAAGATGTAAAGCACTTCCATGGGTGATTTTTCCATGGGTGCATAACCATACCGCTGCTTAAATCTGTTGTATGCTCTTGAGACTTTTTTTTTTATTAAAAAAAAAACCCTAGCACCATGGTATAATTATAGTTTATAGATCAATATAGCCAACTAAGTAATGGATGGCGTGAACAAATGGCTTTCACTATTAAATTACACCTTGGTTGGTTAAATCCAAATACTCCTTATAATAATAAATGAAAAAGCCTGCAATTTTTTTTTCTCTGCTAAGATTTTACAAGACTATGATATCACTATTTCCTCACAAAGGAAGAATAGAATAGAATAGAAATGTTGTATGTATATATAGCAAGGCCAGTTGAAAGTGTATTGTAGAAGAGACTCCTGTGGTCCTGGTTAACCCCACGTTATGGGGACAAAATGTCCCCACAAAGATGGCAATATCTGAAATCTTTGTCTTTGTGGGGACATTTTTTGGTCCCCGTGAGGAAAAGAACTTATAAATCATGTACATTGTAAATGTAGATTTATTATTATTATTATTATTATTATTATTTTTTGTGATGCAGGTCTGGGGTTAGGGTATAGTACAGTATAAAAATCATATATGTGGAAAGTCCCCATAAAACAAGAACACCAAATGTGTGTGTGTGTGTTTGTGTGTGTAACCGCATGTGCAAAATATGTGTAAGAAAAAAAAAAATACAGTACAATATATTTTTAAAAAAAAACATTACAGAACGATACAGACTACACAATACACACAAACTGCAGACCGATAATAGATGGGTACTGTAGATGAGGACATGTGAGGCCTCAATGAAGACTGACAGGTAAAAATGCAAAGATGATTTTCAACATGGCTACAACAAAACAAATTTCTGAAATTCAGTATAATGAGCAAGGCTGTTTTTCTTTCCTATTCAAGCTCATGCACTCCACATTGATTTAATAGAGCAGTTCTCACTGTCCCCAAGTTCAGAATCATTATTACTGAGAGGAGAACTCTGTGCCAGAGCATAGGAGTACAGACCTGTCCATCAGAGGCATTTGACAGATTAAACACCTCAGTGCCCTTTACAAGTCTGAGAGTGCAGACATGCTGATGTCGCCAGTCATAATGCTATCTCCTCATGAAGACCATGAAGTGTGTTAGCTACGATTTCTTGCTTTGTTCTATGTATTTCTCTTTTACTTAATATGTAAACATTTCAAACTAATAGTGATCGGATGAGCCACATTTACACATTCAATATTATTATTAATGGAACAAGTTGCCATGTTGCTTGGTAAACGTAAACATTCTACAGTCAAGGCAATGAATTTTATTAGGAACTTAGAGGGAAAATAGTTTACTCTTAGAATTATTATAATAATACATTTAACTCTTTATTCAACTATATATTGAAGCAGTGTATCTTAGTGATGTTGCAATAACCCCACTCGAAACTGGGTGTAACAATGATTTTGCCAGAAGTAAGGAGATTGGATATGGTAAGAAAAATAAAATAAAAAAAAAAGTGTTCAGTTAATGCGAAAGAGTAACTGAAATAATGTGTCATTTCACTTGACTATTAAAACGTAATTTTGTGACGCGCATATTTTCCTGTCAGAAAGTAAAACATATGAAGATACTAAGAGGTTTGACATTAAAATAACATCTCATTTATTTTTATTTTCTGTTCAAATAGGTAAGCGGCACAAAATGCTCCCTGTGAGGAAGGTCGTGGCTTACGGGAATCGTCCAGCTGCGACGAGAGCGGAGGTCATCTCCGATGAGCCCTCCATACTTGCTGCTCTGGCCCACACACTTTGAAATCGTCCCTCCCTAAACTCAGAGTGACAATGTGATGAGCTCTGCTATCATTTCCAGCTTGAGCATGGACGGAGGGATGAGAGGGAGTCGCACGAGTTAATGAGACTATTGCTCTTGTGTTGGGGAGCTTAGGACAGGCAATTACAGGAGGATTACCCAGCGACTTCAACATCGCATACTCTCCACCAGGGCAAGCTTCTAAGAACTCCAGTGAGGTGGATTTTATTTGTTATTATTTTTCACCCTTTTTAATTACGTGCACTGCTGTTGTCAAAAAGTTTGCAAGGTCTTACAAAATGGAGGTACAGATCCGAACGTGGAATAAAGACCTGCCGACTTTGATCAGCCCGTGGATACCGATACTTCTGGGTCTTCACATGCATTTCTCCTGGGCCACAACCTGTCCAGAGGAGTGCCGGTGTGACAGGACCTTTGTTTACTGCAACGAGAGGAGTCTAATGTCAGTGCCTCTGGGGCTAGGAGAGGGTTATAAGACCCTCTACCTGCACAACAATCAAATCAACAATGCTGGATTTCCCCTGGAAATGCACAATGTTGCCTCTGTGGAGACGGTGTATCTCTATGGCAACCAGCTTGACGAATTCCCTGTCAATCTTCCCAAAAACGTGCGGGTGCTCCACCTGCAGGAGAATAACATTCAGACTGTGTCCCGCGCCGCCCTCGCACAGCTGCTACGCCTGGAGGAGCTCTATCTGGATGACAACTCCATCTCCACCGTGGGTGTGGAGGAGGGGGCCTTCAGGGAGGCCATCAGTCTCAAGACCCTTTTCCTCACCAAGAACCACCTGAGCAGCGTCCCCATCGGGCTCCCCGAAGAGCTGAGAGAGCTGCGGTTGGACGAGAACCGCATTGCAATCATAGCCGAGGATGCGTTCGAGAATGTGACGGGCCTCGAACGCCTCCTCCTGGATGGGAACCTGCTCACGGACGAGGGCATCGCCCCCGAGGCCCTCCAAACCCTCGTAAATCTCAAAACGCTATCGATGGCGCGCAACTCCCTCACGGTTCCTCCTCCTTATCTGCCTGCCGAGTTTCTAGTCAAGCTCAACTTGCAGGATAATCAGATGAATGAGATTCCTTTGACAGCCTTTCATGGCCTTCATCGCTTGGAGAGACTGGATATTTCAAACAACCAGCTGCAGTCTCTCACACAGGGGGTCTTTGACGGCCTCCGCAGCCTGAGACAGCTCACTGTTCGAAACAACCTTTGGCTCTGTGACTGCAACATTAAATGGGTCATACTGTGGTTAAAGTCCCTGCCAGCTACCCTCAATGTCCGTGGCTTCATGTGCCAGAAACCAGAGAGGGTACGTGGCATGGTAATCAGAGAACTAACCCTGGAGCTCATCCAGTGTCCTAACAGCACCGCCACAGTCCCACAGCCCACACTGCTCTCTGCCTCCACCGCTGAGTCAGCCTCTCAAACGGCCTTCACACCCGCACGCTCCTGGCCTACACCCACCCCTTCGCCTCTCACACTTCTCCCTCCGAATGCAGGCGAAGACAGGGAACAGAGGACGAACGACCCGGTCGGCCCGAGGCAGGAGTCGCTGCGCGTTTCCTTTGCGGTGCTGAACAGTTCATGCATTCAGGTAAGCTGGGTATCGACATTCGCCGTCACAGCCTTTAAGGTGACTTGGGTCAAGCTGGGTCACAGTTTGATAACAGGCCCCATGCTGGAGTCACTTGTGGAGGGCGAACGTGAGGGAATCGCTCTGGCAAACCTGGAGCCCAAGTCCACCTATCGTATTTGCGTAGATCCGCTGGACGCGTTCAACAGTTACCACCCAGGAGATGATACGATTTGCTCGGAGGTGATGACAAAGTCCGCTTCCTTTGACTCCGGGGATAACGCCACTGGCCCCGAGCAGGCGACCCAGCAGGACCCCAGCTCGCCTTTCCTACTGGCTGGCCTGATTGGCGGGGCGGTGCTTGTGGTTCTGGTGGTCCTGTTGAGCATTTTCTGCTGGCACATGCACAAGAAGGAAAGGTCAGATTCGTCAAAATGGAAATACAGTCGGGGCAGAAGAAAAGACGACTACTGTGAAGCAGGGACTAAAAAGGATAACTCTATTCTGGAAATGACTGAGACTAGCTTTCAGATAGTTTCTTTGAATAATGAACAGCTGCTCAAGGGGGACTTTCGCATTCAACCGATTTACACCCCTAATGGAGGTGTTGGATACACAGACTCTCAAAGGAGAAACAATAGCACAGCGTACTGCAAAAACAGTGTTCCAGAATCTGATACATGCCATAAATGAGGATTTTAAACAGATAACGTCCTTTGTATTTAGAGCTGACTCTTAAACGCACTGTATTTCGAAAGACAGGATGTACAATATGTAATTTATATTCTGAACAATATCGCCTTCTTTTTTATCGCTTAGTAAAACTAAAATGATTTATGAATATTTACTTTCTATGTTCTGTTTCTACAATTCAAGCTCATAAAAATAATAGTAAGTGGCTTTTAGTAATCTGCAATCTTTAAGCACAAATTAACGTCAAGTGCCCATTTTTTTATCATTAACTTATAAGTTATTAGTAGGAAATGAAGAAATGGAAGGACAGTGTGTTTGTATAAAGGTTTAAAGGAGTGAGGATGAGAAGACGGTTCTCATTATCACCACACGGTGGCATCTGTTTTCATTACCACTATTAGTTTGAGATTTCAAGCTACTCTTTGATCCAGCATCTCACATATTTACGTAACAGCTCAGATCACAAGGACCAAACACTGACAGTTCCTGCCAAACAGCTGAAAACAAACCTTGGTTGATACAGGACTAGAATGATATTAGGAAATTCAGCATCAGGGTTGATTTCCTGAGCTGTCTTCCTGTGCAGAGCTATAAAACATCCTAACAGCTCTCTCACACTGCAACAGATCTGCTTCAAGAAGCAAAATATCTAAACAATAGAATATTTAGACAGTATTTAGTGCTGTAATTCAATGTTTGCATAAGAATAGCCTAATGTTAAGGCGATACAAAGGGTAAATTTGCTTGTGTACGGCATACATTTTGGTTAGAAAGGTCTTTACAAATACAAGGTCAAGTCAAGTCAACATGTTACAGGCAGTGTTGGGCAAGTTACTCTAAAAAGTAATTTATTACATGTTCAACCGTTAAATTACTAAAAAAGTAGTGCATAAAAAATAAATAAAAAAAACAATGAGAACCACACACTAACCTTAAAGAAAATGTGCAAACATGCTAAAAAACACGATTGAACAAATTTCTAAAATGTAGCTAAATACCCTTTCGAATGTGTCCTTTAAAAACCATGTGCCCCACATTTTTTTGTTAAGTTTGCCCCAATTATGTTACTTTGCTATTTGTTTCCCAGCTTTCACACCCCTAGTACACTCTCCAGCTCAAGTGAAGATTGCAGCATTATAATGGCTTTGAAATGAGATTTTCTCAGAGCTCTGAGCAGGTGTCAATGAGCCATATCAAAGCAATAAACAAGACTCTAGAGCAAATACTGACCAGTTTTACGACAACTCTTCGCCTGGTCTGGCCCATTTTCTACATGCAAGCCATTCTCCGCATGAACATATGATGCTATACATGCAGTTCTCTCTCTTTATGGCTAAAGTGCTTATAACATTTATGATATATGCATGAGGCAATTTACAAGCACCCATAACTCACATAATGATTGGCTCATTGGTCAGTGTGTCATGCGTGTGATTGATCAGTAATCTTCTCAAAGATGTTTTCCTCTGTTTCAAAAAATAGGTAGAGAAACGAGCTCGCAGCCATGTTGTCTTTGAACTTCGGTTTTTGTGGTAGCTATATTTCTATGGCATTGCTGTCAAAGAGTATTTAGCTGGTGAAGTGGATAGTGAAGAGTTCACAAACGTTATCACGAGCACAGAAAAATTTCTGAAGAGGATGTCATAACAAATGTCAATAGACAGGGAAGATTCATAAATCTGTAAGATCTCATGGTCTGGAAATACACATCAAAAGACAGAAGACAATAAGCACAATGCTGAAATGGGGTGGGGCTACACAATGTCTGAATGAGTGGTGCAAGGATGTTTTTTTTAGGCCAACCCGGAAATTCCCTCTACAAAAAACCCAATAGGATTTGACATTTTTGCAGCTACTGATTCTTACACGTTTCATTCATTGTGATAATTTTTACAAATAAACAACTTTTATGAATTCTGAAGCCTATACATTCGGCAGAAAGAAAAAGCTAAACAAACTACAGTCGCTCGACTTCAACGTCACCATCACTGAGCTTCCGACAACACTTTCAGACTTTATTTAAAATAAAATAAAAATCCCAGAAAGTGTTAGCGCAATTATAAACACAACAAGGCTGTGAAAGCAGACTAGTGCGTATATGAGTTAACCTGTTCGGTGTGATTATGGGGATAAGATAACTGTTTGTTGTAATCCATTACAGTGTACAAAACAATCGTCTCAAAATGGCAGCTGCATGATACCGGATGGCATAATTGAATAACTGTATACAAAATATAGATTTGAGTTTTTATATTTTATTAGCTCACCAAACGCAAAATTTGCACAAGGAAAAACCCATTCCTAGCATGTGCAAAGCGCCGACTTCAGTGATAGTGACCCTGATGAACATGTGTTTATCAGTTTATACCGCTTGTTATCAGGGCATAATCGAAAAAGTCCTCCTGGGATGTCTGCATTTACAAAGTGGGAAGTCATGTTTACGATGTCAGGTGTGTTCAAGTCATTTCCGTTGGAGTAAGATGGTGGTGTGTACCTTCTCTTAATGAACAAAATTACAGTATTTTTGATTAACGACATGTGAAAATGTAACTCCATCTTGAGCTTGTGTTCACCACAGACCGTATTTCAAGTATTAAAAGCCATTAATTGTTAAGTACTCGGCCTGAAGAGCTAAAATGCTAACTCTATTCCGGGTTTTGGCCTACTAAAATATGCCATTCCTGCAACACTCTATACACAATGAATATAACAAAATGAATTTTATTTTAAAGTGTTACCAAAAAAATTATTATTAATAATAATAGAAAGCACTTCTATCATTGAAAATATTCAATGAAATTAAGAAAGAAACTTTTCTTGGATAATCAAATATACAGTATAATAGATATAAAAATTATATCTGTCTGTCTAAAGGGGCTTATACACAATTGCATCGTATCGATAGAACTTTTTTTTTTTTTTTTTTTTTTTTTTTGATGGATAGCATCATTAATTTGGCTTCACAGTATCTGAGCAGTGCATTTTGTGGCTAATAATTTACATGCATAAATAACACAAACTCACACCCGGAGCTCCTCAGCATGACCTTTCACTCTCATCAGCCAGTGTGTGTGCGAGACAGTAATTAGCCATTAAATCGGTACATCTGGGCCCTCCAGCTGTGTGGTCAGCTCTAAATGAGCTAGAGAATAAACCATCATTCTTTACCTCTCGCTGTCCCACCGCAGAGACCCAGGGAAAGGCCAGGAGTGCCGGACTGCTTTATTAGTTCAGTCACTGGGTTCAGAGCGGCACCCATTTGTAATTATAAACAAACACTGGAGAGAACCATCTGACTGCACCCTTCATTACAATCAATTTAAACAACAATTTATTATTATTGCTAGTGTCCGCACACCCATCTCTGAAAGCTATTCTCTTCACCACAGGCTTTTTTTCCCCCCCAATAACTCTAATAAAATTGTGCGTGGTTAAAGGATGAATTGACAGCACTTATGGCTAATGTGGACTACTGAAACAAATATTTTAATGTTTATTTAAAAAAAAAATCTAAAATCAGCCACCACACAAAGAAAAAAAAACAACCATGCAGAGAAAAAAAAATCCATTCAGACCTGTTTTTTAATCCTCAAAAAGTCTAAACACTCTCAATAATAAAGCTGTTTGGATTTTCTGAGCAATATGATGTCATATTGCTCATGCTCCACCCACAACCACTGACGGACTGTCCCGTATTAGCATATTTCTGACCTCAGCCATTTCTATGTCCACCAAAGCAGGTTGCAAAGGCAGCACTTTATGTGTCTTGTGTCGACACCCCCCATGGAAGAGAGGGGTGGGGTGAGCAGTTGCTCATTATCATTTAAAGAGACATACACCAAAACAGCTCACTGTGAACAGAGCTGTTTTTGAGGAGGTAAAAATGGTGTTGTTTTACATAACCATTGCAACATGACATCATGACTTTTGCGTAAACATATAAGCCACTTTCAAGTCAAGTGGTGTGTTATCTATATGCATTTTGAGCTATCCGCGTGTATGTACACGCCGTTAAATGTCCGAGCGAAATGAATCAAAATGTAGATCTACATCTGGGGAGCAATATTTTTTTTCCTAGGATGATAGGGGAAGACTCGGAAATGGTTTTAACACCAGTGATGGGTAGGTTTAGGGATGGGGTTAGGGTAGGTCATATATTTCTATATACAGTAATGTAACGTTAAGTCAACGGCGTTGATAAACACGCGCCAAAAATTGAAATACGAATTGGCGTGTCATACACACGCCATTTCATGAGATCAGTCTGACCATTGAGGAATTTTAACCAAAACTTTTACACAATTTACATGGAGACCTTAAATAATTCTACCAACTTATGGAAAATGGGCATCCGACGACCCCTTAAGCTTAACTTGCATTGAACTCGCTATGTTCCTTTTAAAGTTTGTCATGACCTCTGTTGTAATCAGTGGTCATTTACCATTGTAAGATGGGCATGGACATGCATTGAGAGACACTGTGATGGCAGACGGACATGGGTGGCCGCCTGTGATATTCATTTCAGCACGCCGGAAGCTTCTAGCAGACCTGATGTGTCACATTGGGCCTAAGGTGAAAAAAACAGTTGGAGGAATGAATTGAATAAACACAGCGTAACCTGAGCCGATAGTGGAAACCAAGTCAGCTGAACAAATTACCCACTTATCCTATTGTGCAAAGCTCTGCGGCATCAAAAGTGCTTGAGGAACCAAAATGAAGTCCATAAATGTTTCCGCTTCTCAAGTCGTCAGGACTTTTGCAGTAAGGGGTTTGTGTTTGCAGAGTGCAAATAAAAAGCGAAGCTGGAAATAAATGATAACAGCGGGCCAGTCTACAACAGCAGGGTGTGTTAATATTGTTAGGGTTCATGCTTGTTGTCATGATTACTCGTTTCCTGAGTTAGACCTCAGATCATTACCTCAGTTTCAGTGGGGGTCTTGAAATCCATGGTTGCATCTAATAATGGAAGAAGCCATATTCAAACAAACTCCACACAGAACAGTCCCTTAAATCACTAAAAAAGGAAGTGGATTGTCATAAATGAATACAATAAAAACTAGGTTCAAAGCATTTGGTTATTATAAGCACAAATTAATTAAATAATAATGAATAAGCATTCAGCCTATAAGAATATTTTTTATACTTATTAA